TTGTGAGGATTTATTTTGATGCGTAGACGTGGTTGGGGTGCGGTGGAACGGTGCATCGCATATGGAATCAAGTGAATTGTATTGTACTGCCAAGTTTGTTGTAGGGTCTTTTATGTCATATGGTGTGGATGGTTGTGTACCTTCTTTTGAGGAACCGAGCTGTTGTATGCAGGTGAATGAAATTGTGGGCCATATTTTGATGGTCAAGAGGCATGAGATTACTCAAATCCTCATGAAGTTTTCTTTTTATTTTGTATGGATAACTTTTGACATTGGGCTTTGCTAAATTTTCTTGTAATTTTAACAATGGTTTTTTTTTTGAAAACTCTTTAGTGGGCTTGTACAAAAGAAAAAAAAGGGCTATGGAAAATATATATTTTTATAGAGTTTTTGTAAATTGTGATGGATTTTTGGTGTAATGGGCTTAAGATTCTTGATCCATGATATTTGTAGAACTCTCTTTGAACAATGAATGGACTTTTGCTTTGAATTTTGAATTCACGCTCCTATGTTAGGACCATCCTTTGATCTGACCATTGATGTGAATAAGATCATGATCATTAAATCTTGAAATTCCAACTAGAACCAAAATTCAATGTTCTTGACTTTTCTACTTGAAATGAATTAAAACTTAAATTGATCCTTGAAACAACACATGGATCTATCTTGGATTTGAAACGTATCCGAATTTTGAATCGAAATGAATCCACCACTGAAGCAATTTTGGACATTTCTCTTGCATCTTGATAAACCAAAACTTTCACCACAAGCCTTCTTGATCAAGAATCATGATTTCAAATCATAGAAATTATGAATCAAGATATGAACTCCAAAGCAGTACACAAAACTCTGATTGAAGAATGAACTAGATCTTGATTACCATCAGCCATGAAGCATAAAGAATTTGGCACAGCCTGATGACCTGAACCACATACAGATGATTTGGGCATAAAACCCTGATTGAAACCTCAAACACACACCACTTGTGCTTACATACCTTGACCTGATCATGAAGCACTTTCTTGACTGACTAACCGATTAGGTCAAAACCACAAATGATCCTCACCATGTGTTGTTCTTTATTCTTTCCCTGATGAGCCTCAAATGAAGTTTGATTCTATTTAATTCAAGCCAGCAACACCCTGAGCAGGAGTAACACTTTTATTTTTATTTTTTAGGATAATGGTTAGTGGCTGGGTGCACATATGAGAACTATATACGGGTAAGACAGATTTGGGGTATGACAATCAGGTAACAAGTTTCAAACACAAATTGAATACTCTCTCATTATTCAAATATTTACTTGAGCGTCGGAGTGCTAACATTGCAGGTACACTTCACGCTTTGTCTCATCGAAATTTCTCCTCTGCCGCAACTTTCATAACAATTCACTTTTTGGTTTCGAAACGGAACATTGGCGTTGTCTATGAGAATCTACTTTCGGTTCTCACATGTTTTGTCAAGAATAATTTTTTTTTACTTCAAGAGAGACCTCTACCACAAATTAATCAAGCACGAGTAATAACATCAAATAAGATGATTGAAGAACCTGGCCCTACTCCAGATCTGGTCTTTCATGAATCATCATCAATTGACATAATCCGAAATGTCACTTCTTCAAATGATTTTCCATTCTCCGATTGTTTCTCACTAGTATATGATTCAAGAGTTAAACTATTGGATAGATTGGAGTTAGTATTTATAAATAGTGAAAAGATCAATATAACCAAAAACTCTGATTTACCTTTAGTTATCGCGGTTGGTATCGCTGATCTAAACCTAATAGAACTCTTAGTGGATGATGGAAGCTATTGTAACTTCTTTTATGAAGATGTGTTGGAATTGTTGATCCTTTAATGGATAAATATGAGTCTATTCGACGGAGAGGGTTCATTAGCCTTCAAAGGTTCAACCACTCATCCTTGTGGATTGATCGAGCTGGCGCTATCAATTAGAGAAGGAATGATCTAGAGAATAATGAATCTCTCGTTCCTCATGGTACAATTTGGAAATGCCTTAAAAAATGAGCACCTTATAACCTTACATTATTGGCCACAGAGTCAAATTTCACTAATTTTATGCTTTTTACGCAATCTTTATTGGGGACAACTATAATGGTTCTAATGCATTTCTTCTTAGGCTAATCCTTAGAAAGGGCCAGTGTAGTATGGGTAGCCCCAAACTCTAACTAGGTTAGATTCTTCTTGTAATTATAGAAAAGAAGGAGTGAACATAAATAACTGAAGACTAAACATGTCAGTATGTGCTCAAAAGAAAGAAATAAACAACTTACCAACCACCTTTATCTGTCCCTCCACATAATAGGCCTTCGCCACTTTCTTGCAAGGTATTAGATCATTGGAAAACAAAACTATAACCACCTGCATATCTCTATCAAACTCATTAAGATCTTCATAACACACCTTATAACTCTTGACACACTCAGAGAAATGTTTCTGAGACTAGAACCTCTGTCATTGTTCCGTGCAGATAGTTCGTCCGTCAAGAATAAAGGGAACGACACATAAATTATCATGATAAAGAGGAGAAAGAGGCTTAGACAGGAAGTAATTAAGTATAAAAAACTTCTAACTATCAACGTAAACCTTGAAGACGCGGTTTTGAACACGCCGAAGGAAAACAAGCCCATGAACAACAACACCTTTTGAGGTGGGACAAACTTCAAAAAGATGAAAGAAAAGATCACGAGAAGCCAAATTTGTCTTCCTCTGGTATTCATACCATTGTTGGAATACCCGGAAGAAACCCCAGACACATGGATGAAGTTGTGAAGGGGGCGACTGAGGTGTTCTAGAACCTTTTTCTCAAAAGAAGTTAGCAGAAGACGAACATCCAAATCTTGAAAAATGTGGGCCTAAAAAAGAATAAAACACCATTCAAAGATGTGAATATCCTTTTTTCAACATGAACTAGTAGGATTTCCCAATCGGAAGAAACTCATATTTCTAGAGGATCAAATGACATTTCTTTCCCTTAAACGAAAAAAAATTGTTGAGTTAAATACTTTAACTCAACCCAAGAATAACCTTCCATTGCAATCTCCACCAATAAACTAGTCGGTCAAGTAAGGAGCAAGGATTCACGAAGAAAAGCAGGGTGATAAAAAAAATAGACGAGTATATGGTAACGACACATAAAGAAATTAGAAAGCAATGCCCAAAACTCTTATAGGGAAACGAAAAATGGGGATGAATCGTCCAAATCAAACAACTCAAGAGTAAAACTTTTTGTCCCATCGATCCACACGAGAATATAGAAACACTCCATATAAGATAGACAATGAATCGACGGTAAGAGAGACATTTTTTGTCCTTAAGTAGGGTAATCATTTTTTAACCCACGTGCCTAAGGTGACATGCTTGCAAGTAAAAGAAAGACAACGAATCGGAAAAACATAAAATGCACTCATTGTTTCTACGAAGTGCTCCAAACATTTTGATTTTCAAAGTAACAGAGGGAAAACCTTGGATATGACCGACTAAAGCTACTAAAAACTTTCCTGTCCCCCAAAAGCCCCAATAAGTCTTGGGGGAAACTATTCTGGGTCAGGTATATCTCCCTCGATCCGGCCACTTCTCTGTTGGACCGGTCATCCTAGGACGAAAAACTTCGGGTTCCAATCTACCAGCTAGTCACTCAACTGATTTCTAGAATATTTTCCTAACCACTGGAATGTCCTATGTCCGACTACAGGATATCCATGCCTAAAGCAAATCCAACGGTCTTCCGCTCTTTACGCCTAAAAGATAACGAGACAATTATCCCCATTTCCTATATCTAGGGAATGACGCCAATTAGGTAACAAGTTTCAAACACAATTTGAATAGCCTCTCATTATTTACATATTGACTTGAGTGTCAGAGTGCAAATATTGCACGTACACCCCTATGTTTCATATAAAAATGTTTAAATAAATACAACTCACATTTCTGGTTCCGGAACCGAACACCTTTTAAAGACATTTCGAGACTGAATGATGAAATAATTTTAAAAAAAATAATATTAACTATTTAATTTGTTTAAATAATATAAACATATTAATTCTTTTTATTTTATTTTTTATTTTTTAAAATGTTAAGTTGCTCTTTTTTCATTTCAACTTTTTAAAATTAAATAAGTAATATTATTCATTACATAAAAAATATATATTAATTTAATATAACAATGTAATATCATTTATTAATTTCAAATGATAATAGATATATTCATTACAAATTTAAAATAATGTTTAAATAAATATATTCATGTAAAATACTATTTCAAATAAAAATAATATTTAAATAACATTTATCTCAAGTAAATATATTTTTTAAAATTTAAAATAAAAAATATATTTATTTGAAATAATATTCAAAACTATAATATACTATCTATCTCCGTTTCTTTATATAAGAGACAATTTATTTTTTAGATTTATTGAATAATTAATGTATTTGGTCCGTCTATAAATTAGATATATTAATTATTTAATGAACCTAAAAATTAAATTATCTTTTATAAAAAAAACGGACGTAATAATAAATCGGGTACATGAAATTATTTGGCTCATGTGAATAAGATAGTAGAGGTGTATTTGTCTATTGTCTATGGGTTGAAATCTTACTTAAACCATTTTAATTTGTATTTTTTAAAAATATTTGTGTTTTACAATAAGTAAGCAAGATGATTTAATTTAAATGTGAAAAGGTGTAGTATATAAAAAGTGTGTGGATGTAGTCCCCCACCATAAGAAGCAATCTTTAAGAGAAGAAACAGCAAGCAGCAACATCACCATTCTCTTTCTGGATCTCACCAAACTCACTCACCATCATCATATCATATCTGACACACACTTCACTTTCCAAATACTCTCCAACCCCAACCCTTTCCCTTTTCATCATTCTATTTCACTTTCTTTTCTCCCAAACAAAACAACCTTTGCCTCCTCCTAACTTGTCTATCCATTTGTCCTCTCTCCAAAACCTTCTTGGAAACTGTGTATGGAAATGGAGGATTTTTCTTCCACCAGAATGAATGAGTATGGTTCATCTTCTTCTCTTGTTTTGGATAGAGAAAGTGGAGAGCTTGTGGAAGCATCCGTTAAGTTGGAACGCAAAGGTGTTTCACCCGAGAGAACTATTGAAGCTTTGAAGAATCATAGTGAAGCTGAGAGGAGAAGAAGAGCAAGAATTAATTCACATCTTGATACTCTTCGTACCGTTATTCCAGGTGCTAATAAGGTTAGTACTTTTATTTTATTTAGACTTAGATAGGATCCTATATCGGAAACCTGATAGCATGAGTCTGAGTTTAACTTGTCCTTACAAACCGATTTGTCAGATGAATCTTGTTTGGTAGCACAAACAAAATGATATATGTTAATCTTTGATGGCTTGAGAATCTAAGTTTTTTCTCTATGTACTTTTTGAACATAGTTGGACAAAGCATCTTTACTAGCTGAGGTAATTACACATTTGAAAGAGCTAAAAACAAAAGAAGCACAAGCAAGTGAAGGACTAATGATACCAAAAGACAGTGATGAGATAAGAGTTGAATCACAAGAAGGTGGATTAAATGGTTTCCCTTATTCAATTAGAGCATCACTATGTTGTGAATACAAACCAGGTTTATTGTCTGATATAAGACAAGCACTTGATGAACTTCAGCTTATGATAATAAGGGCAGAGATTGCAACTTTAGGAGGTAGAATGAAGAATGTCTTTGTCATAATTAGTTGCAAAGAACAGAATTTTGAAGATGCCGAGTATCGACAGTTTCTCGCTGGATCGGTTCATCAAGCTCTTCGATCTGTTCTTGATAGATTTTCTGTTTCACAAGATATTTTAGAAACTAGAAAGAGAAGGAGGATTTCTATATTCAGTTCTTCTTCATCTTTAGGAGATTTCTTATAAAACTTGTTTTTTTGTTGTTGGTATATTCACATGTTCACATGTGATGTGAATCTTGGGTTGTACATGTGTTGGGAACTTTTGTAGATAGCTAGGTTGATACCTGATTTAAGGATGTTTCAATCTTTTGACCAAACACAATGAATGAACTTGTTTTATGACATTGTACTTAGTTTAGATACATAAATTTCTATTTTACGATACAATAGTTATTGGTTTCTAACACACGCTCAATAGTTATTGATTATGTCACATAATATTTCGGGTCAAGGTTAGTCGATTATGTCACATAGTTATCGATTATTCACACACTACCCATTCAAATGTCTCAACAAAGTTAAATTTTGTAGGCCAATGTGATATAGAGACTTGGATCCGTGTCTTCCTATAAATATTGGATTATGTAATCATTTCAAAATAACAATCAATCAAATCAAGTTATTTTGCACATATTTATCCCTTTTACTTTACTTTAATTTTAAACGTGTTATAATTTAATTTAGTACATGAACATTCTCACATAATCATACTTAATGTTTTTTTAGTTAAAAGACTCATATTTGAGAGACATAATTCTTCCCTCAACAAAATCATTTTTAAAAAATTATTTATTAATTGATCACTCGACTAATTTTTAATTTCAATAACAACTATAAATAAGAAGTATACTCTTCCAATCTAATATATCATTTCAACTTCATATATATATTTCTCTTATTTTCTTTCTAAAGCATTGACCTTTAAGTTGGTTGCTTCTTAAGAACTGACGATGTTGATTTTTTTTAAGGTTTGATTTTGAGAAATGCACCTTCGTCGTAAGGGTGGTCAAGTTTTTAGATTTCTACAACATCCAACTTGGACAAATGCAAAGCAGTCATTCAGATGAAGGTCCTAACATCTAAAAAGGACATCAAAAATTGAATGGGATGCTGACAGCTCTGAACAAGTTCATCTCAAAATCAGCCAAATAAGCATTGTCATTCTACAAATTGTTGAGGAAACAAGTAGAGTTCGAATGGAATGTCGAATGTAACGTTGTGTTCAACTCCTTAAAAAGGATCTGGTTACTCTGCCAGTGCTCACCCGACCATTATTATGAGAGACATTGTGTCTCTACTTAGCAATGACTGAAGAAGCAGAAAGTGTCATCCTCATAAGAGAAACGGGTGACAAACAAAATCCGATATACTTTGTGTCTAAAGCCTTAGCAGGAACGAAAAATCGATATCAGAAAATTAAGACAGTTACCCTAACTGTGACGGTGGTTTCTTAGAAACTCATAATATATTTCCTAACACATCCTATAATAATTCAAATAGATATACATATGAGGCAGATACTCTACCGGCCTATGTAACTTAAAACAGAGCTAGTACTTCAATGCTTTTAGATACCTAATTAATAAGTGTGTCAATTCACATGAATGTCATCGGAAGTGTGAAACTTGAATGTCATCAGAAGTGTGAAACTGCATTGTGTTATCCTATATTGTATAGACAATTACCCTAAAAAATAGTTGTAGCCTTTGCTATTAGATCATGTTCTTGTAACACCCACACATTATATACATCTAAAAAATATATTACATATAGTGTAATTTGGTACTGGTACATATAAGTTCCTATCGGCAACATTATATATATATATATATATATATATATATATATATATATATATATATATATATATATATATATATATATATATATATATATCTAAAAAAGAATAATATACAATATGGCACATGCTATACAAAGATCTCTAGACAAAACTAAGATCTATTTACAATATTCATATATGTACACAAGCTACAACAGAAGATCTTCACATCAAAAGCCTTTGAAACATCACCAGGAAAGCTTACCCTTACCCTTCACCTGCAAAGAACCACTTGCAACAATAATAATGAGGTGAGATAATATTCTCACTGGGTTCCCTATCTTATGAGTCTACTTAGCTCTAAAGGGTTAATCTCAAATCCTCAACTTAACTTTCTCTGATAAAACAATACATGTGTACACTTACACAATAGAGAAAAACTTAAGTATGTAAGAAATATTCGCATTATATGGAAACATGTAACTTGAGTTCACATAACTCAATAAATCACTATTTGAAAAATTGTCGCAGAGCATCTTTCCCTGACCAGACCTACGTCTAGGGCAAGGCTCGAGTCACAGATGTTTGTATGATTTGACTTTCGTGTGGATTCGGGCTCTCCATGGGACTCGAACCCACTTCAAGAACCGTCACCCGTACGAGACTCAGATCCACTTATGGCATATTTCCTCGCATGGGACTTGAACTCACTTAGAGGTCCACCTCTCTTCTATGAACTCAATCCATAATTGAGACTCAAATGCATTGTGAGGTACAAATAATTGTTGCCTACATCCCAATTCTACTTTACATAAGCATCTCAATTGGGGTGTGCGCGGTCAAAGGTTATTTTTGAATACATGATTAGTTTTCAACATTGTTGTGATTGCACTCATCAATCACTAGATGTTCACATTCACCAAATTCTCATATCACCACAACATATTCCATACAAATCCTATTTATTCACAATTCAAGTGACTACTCGTCCACTGTACACACGAGGGTACCTTCATTTCCAAGCATCATTATCTAAATCATGTTCATACCCTAAGTTATTTTCCTAACATTTTAACCTAATCAAGATTCTAGGTTAAAGTTCATCCATTTCATGGATTTCAATCAATTATTGTTAATTCAATGTATACATATCATAGTAAAAGTTATAAGACACTTATGATAACTTAGGATCATCAAACAAATGGTTTTTGGCAAGACACAAGAGAACCAATCGATTGCATAGGAGGACCAATCAATTGATATGATCATTCTATCCAAATTTTCACTAAAAGCAGCAGACCAGTCGATTGTTGGGAAGAACCAATCAATTTCCATGAGCTTTCTGTCCAAATTTTCATTAAAAAGGCATAAGAGCAATTGATTGGTTAGGGGTGTCAATCGATTGACACCTGCAGTTTTTCAGATTTTTCACACATTCATGGAACCAATTAATTGTTCTTGGGAATTTATTCATACCAATCGATTGTCCTCTGCATTTTTTTCAAAAATACCACTTTTAAACACATCATTTTCCAACCTTAACCATTTTAATCCAAACCAATTCATAGACCAACACAACTTCATGCGATTATGAGCCATAACCTCAAGAGCAAGACATATATGCAACCGTGTTTCTTCTTCATTCATAAATCATATATTCAACATATCAACAACAACATAGTATCAACACAACATCAAACAACATAGAAATCACAAACAAGCATGAAACAATCAATAAAACATGTATCAATATCAATTTCCACGATCATAACAACAATACCTAAACCCTAATTTCCCATTTCATGTAAACCGTTTCCCCAAAAGCTAAATTATCTTGAACCCACCTTAAAAGATGAAGATGAATATAGATTTCAGATGAGATGATGATGATCCACGTTCTTGATTCCACTTCCAAGCTTCTTCCCATTTCTTCTTTTCTTCTCCTTTTTCGTCTCCTTTCTTTTTTTTCCTCCACGTTTTTCCCTTCTCTTTTCTTACTCTTCTATTCTCTTACTAACAAAGGAAATGAATGGTTGGTAAGATAAAAGAAGGAAAATATCTTAAGGTGATATATCTTCCTTTTGATATTTTTCAACAAGAGTAAAGTTGAAAAGAAAGGAAATAAGAAAATATCTTATGAAGAGATGTTTCTCCTATAGAGTAACTGACCATCCATTAATGTTACCAAAAGGTTTTTTTCTTTTATAAATTAACAAAAGTCAATTAAATGAATAAGAATTAAGCTCATATGAATTTACTAGTTATTATATTCATCTCAACTCAAAAAAATTAGTTAATCTCACCTGAAAACGAATAAAGTATTTACGTGAATATAAGATATTACCTTTCTAAAATATAATTTTTCTAAATGAATGATCTAAAAGATGTTTTAAATTAAATTGCTCAGCAAAAATGGAATTTAGACTATATCATTTTTGTTTTGTTATTTATTTATTTTTTTGGGTAGGGTTGTTTGACTAACTTGAAACCAAAGCAATCACTATCCATCAGCTCCAATCCATGAACCGAACCCTCCATTTCAGACCGCTAGATCTCACAGGTGTTCAAATCGGACGGTCATCATTGTTTTGATGCAGAACCGCTTTGGTGCAACTTCATCTCCTTCCTGAGTAAGAATCGAAGCACACCGAACCTTCCTTCCAAACCCCTTTTCTCCTTCTCTCTTCTACCAAAATTTACCAAACCCTAATCTCCAAAATTCTTCCCCAAATTCGCACCTCCTGAAGACCCAGATCGTTTTCTTCTTCCTCCAAATCCACTGCCATCGAATTTGTAACCCTCTTTTGTTTCCGAATCATGGAGAAGGATGAGATCAAACCCGACATTGAGAAAATCGGGAAAGAAAGTGAAGATATCGAACCCTTAGAAATCGTTCTCTTTCAAGTGCCCGAGTGTTACGTCTACATAGTAAGTCTTGTTTCAAAATTTGATTTTGATTCATTTGATTTTGGGAATAATATTTGATGGGAAAGTGTATATTCAAAATTTGATTTTGATAATTTCGATTGACAATGGTAATGTTGAATTTACTGTTGGTGATGATGAGATGAGGCTTGGAATTCGAAAATTTGTGGTGTGAAGCTAATGGATTTCTTCTGTTTATGCAGATACCTCCAAGAATGAGTGCAGCTTCTTACAGGTTTCATATCAATTGCAAATTATTGCTTATGATCTAGTATTGTTATTGAGATGTTTTTAGTTCATAGTAGCATAATGTTGAAATTAGTAATGTACTCTACCTTGTTAAAGATTCAAGAAGCAGTAGTTTTCAGTGTTCATCATGGAAGTTTGTTCTGTCAGTTTAATCATTGATGCGTTCTTTATACTTTGATTGTTTTTTATGGGATTCAGTTTCAACTTTTTCCTGTATGTTTCTGCTAAGTGGGTGACTGCTATGTGTGTGACTGCTCAGCATTTATACCTGTGAAGTTCATTTCAGGGCTGATGAATGGGATGTTAACAAATGGACATGGGAAGGGATTTTGAAAGTTGTTAGCAAGGGAGAAGAATGTATCATAAAACTAGAAGATAAGAACACAGGTAAATATCACAATAAATCTGCGCTAATTAGATTATACAGTTAATTGCTTTTTTTTTTTTTTTGAATTATTACTTAAATGAAATATATGTAACTAGGTGAATTATATGCTCGGGCGTTTTTAAGAAATGGAGAGCCGCATCCTGTGGAAGCTGTTATTGACAGCAGCAGGTGGTGTTTTTTGTAACTGTTGATAGATTTTTTTGGTTGTTATTATTTATCCCTTTTTGTACTTTTTGATACTAAAATAATTATCCTTATCTTCTGCAGGTATTTTGTTCTTCGCATAGAAGAGAACATAGGTGAGAATTTTTATCTAGATTATTCATACTATACTACCCACTTTCAATCATATATATAAGAAAGACACTGAAATATCAGTCATTACTTGTTTGAGTTGAGAGTTTTGAGACTAATATAGGGTACCTAGTTTTCAGTCCTACTGAAAATGTGAACGAAGAAGGTGTTTTACCGATCATCTATATTCCTAACATCATAAACTTTATGCTTTTGATTAAATTGTGTCACAATAGCAATCAATAGAATATGATCATACATATGGATGTCATTCTTGGTACTCTCCTACTTTGTCTGTATTGGGATAATCTATTGTAGTACAAGATAAATTGATTCTTTGTTCCTTTATTGCCAAGTAGCTTTAGTTTTACTATTATGCTGCATTAGCATTACTTCTTTTTTTAGCAAAAGAAAGTTTTGACATTTTAAGTTGGAAAGATTGTTGTTTTACACCCATATTATCAAATAATATTTGACGTTTTTCTGCACTCTATTTCTTTTTACTTATGAGATTTGGTCTTAATTATTGGAAAATCACGCAGGTGGTCGCCTTCGGCATGCTTTTATAGGCATCGGATTCCGAGAAAGAACAGAAGCTTATGACTTCCAAGCTGCCTTGCATGATCATATGAAGTATCCTTCCATCTAGCATATTTTGAATTTACAAAGTTTTACTCATTATCAGACAAATTCGGCTTGTTTATTTTACTCCGAGTTTTTCCTAAATTGTTTTGAAGATACCTGAACAAAAAGAAAACCGCAGAAGAGATGGAACAACATTACCAGCATAGTTCCTCAGTTGATTACAGTTTGAAAGAAGGAGAGACTCTCGTGCTTCAAATAAAAAACAATGTATGCAAACCTTCATTTTCTGTTATGCATGTAGTTTTTTTTTCCAGCGTCATGATCTCTATACTATCCTATTTATTGTGTACAGAGAAGTGGCGGCAATGTGAAGTCCAAGTTTTTTGAGCTGAGTCAAAACAACTCCTCGGAAGAAAAGAATGAGAGAAAAGAATCTGTACCGTGTATTAAGTTACCGCCACCTCCTCCATCACCAGGTTCCCCTGCTGTTACACCAGAAAAGTGTCCGACAGACTCACCTACAAAATTGAGACTTGAGAAACCTGCTGAAATCGAGAACTCTAAAACCGTTAAAGAAGAAACAGAACATGAAAAACCTCCTGAAAATCAAAGCACACAGGAAGTAGTAGACGATGATTTTGGTGATTTTCAAGCAGCTGGTTAAATAAATATCTATCCAGTACGCAGTTTAAATTTGCAATGATTAGGAAACATGCAAAATTATCTCATAGCTGGTTAATATCTGGTATATCACAGATTGCTGATTCAATTATGTCATAGACTACAATACATCGTTAAGAATCTCAACCTATATGTTTGTTTAACCTGTTGGTGATTGTCTTAGTAGTATGAGATTTTTTCCTCCCACTTGAGTCACTATATTTAAGTTTTGTGCTTTTAGATTTCTCATAGTTGGACTGTCTCAATAGTTATTTGGTACTGATCAAGGGTTCATAGCTTTGCTAATATCATGAATGCTGTTATGCTCAATGAACCAGATTCAGCGTTTATAACCTTGTTTATCTGTTCCCTTGTAAGTTTCAAGTTGGATCCTCAGCTCCCTTGTATGTTTCAAGTTGGATCCTCAGCAGTGGCCTCTAGAACCTCAGCAGTGGCCTCTAGAACCTCTAAATATAAGAGAAGTTTTTAATGTATCTTATATGTTACTTACACATCACGTGATGTTGTTCAGATTTTGAAAGTGTATCTTTGAGTGCCACCTTAGATGAATGTTAAAAGAATTTTCAGAGATGTATTTTCTGGTATTTTTAACAAATATAATGAAATTTAATAAGTCCAGAGGTTATTTCGGAGATACATCTTTGAAAGTTTAGGGTGAAATTTTGAAATATATTGTCACTTTTGCATGTCAGATATTTCTAGAGATATATCTCTGGAATAATTTGATAAAACAAAGAGCTGCATGATCACACAACCATACTTGTTTTTACTCAAAATCCTCACAAAAAATCCTTCTATTCCAATTCATATTTCACTCTAAATCTTGTGTTTCAGGAAAAAAAAAAAAAAAAGAGTTGGAATTACAAGTAAAGATTATTTATTTCAAGACTCATTGTTCACATTAAGTTTGTTTTTGTTTTGAAAAACGAGCGTTTATTTCGGAAATATAATCCGGAAATATAATTCTGGAATGAGTATGAACTCATTCAGATATGCGTTTTCAGTATATGTCTGTGTTCATTTTTTTTAGCTCCGTTTACAACATTAGCGCTTATTTACTATTTTGTGGTAATTTTTTTTATTAGATATGATGCACCCTGATGTTTTTTCTAAACAAGTTGTGTTTCTCATTGTTAAAGATGTTGTTGTGAAGGCGGTAGATGTTGGCAACCAATTTAAAAATGAGAAAAAGTTTAAATCTCGTGATCACATGCTTCAATGGATTCGTACGGAGGCCTCCAAACTGAAATTTGGTGTGGTTATCAGAAGGTCCGATAATGGTTAGGATAAAATGTGTTTTTATGACAATGACATGCGAAAGAAGTGGAAAATATAAACCTCATCTCTGGAATTTTAAACGAGACGACACTGGTTCTTTCGCAAGTCATTGTCACAAATCATACGGAGGCCTCCAAACTGAGATTTGGTGTGGTAATCGGAAGGTCCGATAATGGTTCGGGTATAAGATGTGTTTTTGTGACAATAACATGCAAAATAAGCGGGAAATATAGACCTCATCTCTGTAATTTTAAACGAGACGACACCTATTCAAGAAAATGTGAGTGCCCCTTTAAGGTGTGTGGTTATATGTTGGCAAACGAAAATTTGAGATTTAATGTCATATGTGGTTAGCATAATTGTGTGAAAAGTTAGCCGACCATCCAATTGTGCGTCGGCTCATGCCGAAAGAGAAGGAATGTGTTGCTGACATGATATTGAATGTCGTTCAACCGAAAAATATACTTGCAACTTTGAAACGTAAATGATGAGATGATATCTCAAATATCAAGCATGTGTACAATATTCGGTACCAAACCAACAAGTTGCTTAGGGGGGATTGAATTGAAATGCAACAACTCTTGAAGCTATTGGATGATAACAGTTATGTGTCTAAGTACCGAACGTGCGAGGATGGAGTTACCGTTAGAAATATATTTTGGATTCATCCGAATTCCATCAAGTTGTTTAACACGTTTTCTACTATGCTCATACTTGATTCAACGTACAAGACCAATAAGTATAGACTTCAATTATTGGAGATGATTGGGGTTACCTCTACTGAGAAGACCTATTCTGTCGGATTTGCATTTCTAGAGAGTAAAAAAAAGGAGAATGTTACTTGGGCCTTAGAGAGGTGTCAGACAATGTTGAAAGACCAAGAAGAGATGCCTAAAGTGATTGTTATTGACGGTTATCATACCCTAAAATTTACCCTTAGATTCCTTTTTTTTCTTTATATCATTCTAGGTCAATTATCTTGCATAATACTCAATTTATCAGCTGGAATAAACTTGTCGGCTTTAGAGCCGAATCAGTCAGACTAAAAGTCAATTGTGCATAAAATCAGTAGACGGAAAATTTCAAAGTCGAGCTTGTAAACTTCAGTGATATTAATCTACATTCTGCGTAGTTTAACCTGACGTGCTCATTTAAATTTTTCGACCACTTATCAGTCGCATTTTGGACAATTTAAGTCATTTTATTGAGTAAAATTTATTTTAAAATTTGACCAAACGCTGTATTTTTTCGAATCGTATATTTTGCGTTGATCATTTTGATGTATTTATTTTATTTTTCTGAACACTTCGATACCGACCCAATTATTTGTTTTTACCGCTTTTCTTTCTATTTTTAATTAATAATTATTTATATTAATCAATATTTTTAATCTAGGTTTTATTGTTAATTGTTTTTTATTTAACTTAATTTACTGTTTTATAATATCGATTTTGTTTTTATCCATTTTTAACAAAACTTAATAAAGAAGTCTTATAAAGGTCTATTTTTATTGTTACACTCTCGTGAAAATGTACGTACTGCAGGCATCACAGCATACACTTGCAACGCTATCCCATATTACTTTCTTTTTTATTAATAAAAGACATTGGAAAGACATTTGTACCAAATTTTCCTTTTTCTTCTCACACACAAACCTGTATATAAAAATAAAAAGGCTCATGGACTCCCTTCTGCATTTAAGATAACACGGTGCCTCTCTTTTTTTAAAGGATATAAAAAAAAAGTAAAAAAGAAAATATAATAATAAATACTTCCTCTTTTCATTCCACCCTAAAATTCATGCTACGATGTCACCTTCTTAACTCCAGACTATTATAATAAATTTTATTTTTCTTCATAATATATTTAGTCATATTCGCTCTTTTATTTTCATCACAACTTACATCCATTCTTTACTCCCTCTCATTTAGAAACAATAAGCAATTATTAAAGAATAACACCTAACATTTCCTTGATTTTCTTCTAAAATATATATCAAACCACACATAAAAACTTCATTTCCATACACTCCACAATTTTCATGTTATGGTAACATAAAAACCTCTATTTTTACCCTCCTGTTTTTTTCTTCTCACAACCTTCACCAACGATCTTCTTCCCATCGACACCGACGTACGACACAAACTCTTTCCGATTCGCCGCTTCAGCCGATTTTTTATCGTATGAATTCGAGGTCATTGTGAAAACTAGCTGTGTTGAACTTATTCCCGCTCCAAAAACACAAGACACCTGCTTCTGTTGTTGTTTCAGTATATTTATCTTTCTCTATCTTTTACTTTTTTTTAATATTGTTCTCTTCATTATGTTAATTAATGATATTATCTAACCTTTCATTTATTCTAAAAAAAATCATGTCTTTATGTTCACTTGTTTAAGTTGTTTTCATTTATATATTTGTTGTCTAGTTATTAATAATTCTTGTTTTAAATTTTAGTTTTATTGTAGAATCTTCTTTGAGTGTTTATTTATTATAAAAAAGAAATTCATTTTATTGTTAGTTATTGTTATTATCAATTAGTTATTTTAATTACTCTTTTAAAAAATTATTGTTTTAATTTTTAATATGATATTTTGAAAAAAAAACCAAAAACATTTTATCTTTTATTTCAATACTTTTATTTTTAGTGTAATTATTAATTCGTTAAATGTAAAGTGTAAATAATTTTAGGTTTTTAAACTAGATTTTAGATTAGTAATTAGAATTTAATTAGTCTTTTATAGATTTTAATTTAATTATTAATTAGAATTTAATTTAATTAGTCTTTTTAAATTTTAATTTAATTAGTAATTAGAATTTAATTTAGTTAGTCTCTTTTAGATTTTAATTTAATTAGTAATTAGAATTTAATTCAATTAGTCTTTTTAGAACTTAGTCTAATTAGTTTTTAGTGAATTTGTAATTAATTAGATGTAGTTTAATTAGATTTCTTTTTTTTAAATTTATTATGACATTTCTACATTTTTATTAATTATTGATGTTTGATCAAATTTCATTTGCTTTTGGCTATAATTAAATTATGATGTCCTATTTCACGAGTGTTTGATTTGCCTGAGCGTTTACTGTATATTGTTATTCCTCTTACACTTGATACTCGAGGTTCACCTCTTTGTCTCTCGTTTGCTTTTACCTAATTCCAAAGGAAAGGATCCCCAAGTTGACTGCCATGTCATACTTAGCCTAACTTTAGGTCCTTACCCTTTATCATAACCCTAAGATTAGAGTCACCATACTCTATGTGAGTGTCCTACCATGAATATTTTCTTTCCCATTTAACCTAGCCTTAGGTTTAGAGTCGCCAGACTCTATGTAGGTGTCTCACCGCAGACATTTACTTTCCCTTTGGAACCTTGACCACAATCAAGAGTTCCTCACCCCTTTTGAGGGGAACTACGATTGCTCTGATTCCATTCCCTTCAGGATACGTAGGCACGAGATGCAATGTCTTGGTGAGCATACTTTGTATATATTTTAGATCTTTACCTTAGCACTTTTTCCTTAGCAATCACACTTTAGCATAACACAAATACTAACAAGAGGTTCCTGTAGAGTACTATAGATACTTAGGATGCTAACACCTTTCCTAAGTATAACCAACCCCCGGACCTTAGATCTCTTAGTTGTGTTGTTACATAGCGCGTTTAGGGTTTTCTTCAATCTTTACCCTTTCCTTTGGATAAATCAAA